CCTTTGGACAGAGACAGACTGCCCTTTCATTTTTTCTGCATGAACTATAAGAAACCTACATGAGGCTTTACACTGTTTGGGTCTCTGAGCATAAAATGACAGAGCCCTATTAATGTCCAGAGAATGAAATCTCTTCTCATCCTTCTTTCAGGAATCAAACTAGCAGCCAGACAGTCTGGTATAAGTAAAAGTCTGAAATGGCTTTTCACATAAATTTTGGATGCATTTTCATTCAGACCTCATCTGAGGGCGTGCCACAAAAGCCTGTGACTGAAACTCTCCAGATGTTACTACCATCAAAATATTGTTTTTATTGGCAGATGAAACAAGAAGAAAGAGGTCCTGGGCTCAAAATGGGATCCCCTAAGCTGCGACAGGATGGTGTTGAAATCCAATGCTAACTAATACATTTTCTCACTAGAGGATGCGGAAAAAGGTGCCTTGTTTAGAAGAAGGGTTAGCTGATATAGCTGCAAGTGGACTTTACACCAAACTTACTGAGATTCGTGTGTTTTCAAGTAAGTAAATACTTGAAAATATTCTGAGTCTAAATGGGCAAAAAGCAGACCAGGTAGAAAACCTTTTGTATTTTGCCAGGTGTATATTTTTGGTAGGCATGCATTGGATTAATTTTTAAAATTATATTCATTAAAACATTGAGCAAAAAGACCTTTATTTCCTATGAACAAACATTGGTCAACCATACACTGAGATAAATGCCGCAAGGGTTATCATGTAGATTACAATTCTGATTTTGATAAACCAGGCTCTCAGTCAATGACAGTATTACTAGGTGCTGAATGGAGTATTCTTTGAAACTGATATACCAATGCTCAACAAACGATCTTCTTTTAGTTTCCTGACCACCATGGAATCAGTGATATTGGAGGAAAAGATTAATCAAAATTTCAGATTCACTGCAGTTTTCTTCAGAGACAAATTGCAGTAGACAAGAAGTTCCTAATTAAGGTATCTGCTGGAGTATGAGCTGTAAGACCTTCGGCACAATCTTGTTGCATTTGCGAAAAAGCCTCACGGATAGACCAGGACCTGGCACAAGCAACCCGATTTTTGGTTCTGCCCTGTTTGTTTAGATAAAAAATGGTGATCATATTGTTTGCTAATAATTGTCATGGATTACCTTTGATGGAAGTTAGAAATACTTTGTACTTGCAATACTTTGCAACCTCTTACCTCCAAGGAATTTATGTAGAACTAAGGTCTCTGAGTTGTCAGCAATGCCTGAGATCAAAGTCTATCAAATGAGCTCCCTAGCCAAGAGCCAAGGCACATGTTATTTAGGATCGTCAACAGTGGGGAAGCTATGGGTAGGAACCCCCTTCTATATATTGCTTTGGTTCATCCACCAATTCTAGATATCAGTCATTCATGTAGGTAAGTGAAGTTGCATGTCCTAAGAGTGCCCGGTAGAAGGCAGAGTAGATTTACACCTTAGAGACCAACGTATCTGTATGTATACATACACATATGTGCAGACTGCATCTGAAGAAGTGAGCTTCAGTCCACAAAAGCTTTGTGTTTCATAATCTACTTTGGTTAGATTTTAAGGTGCAAATCTGTCCTGCCTTCTGCTTGACTTCAGACTAACACAGTTAACTACATCTCAAAGAATGCCTGCTCAGCTTGCAAGCTGAACAGAGCTGCAAATTCTAGCAAGCTGAATCACGTATGAACCTGATACGCTGTGTCTTTAAAGCTGCACTGTGTCTTTAAAGCTGTCCCTGGTTCAGCTTTTAGTTCTTTGAGGAGATTTAAAGTGGGTATAAACCTCTTGAGGTATGTAAGCCATTGCTATGTATAATCAAGTTCTCCTTTGAATTTGATCTTTTGAAATGGTATCAAAATGAATTTGTCTTTGTTTATTTGTAGACCCAGCTGAGATAACTGGATAACTTCCTTGAAGTATCTGGGAGTTATTGTAAATCAAACTCAACAGGAGTCAGCTATGTGATGCTATCACAAAAAAACAAGTGCAGTTTTGGGTTGAGTTAAAAAGTGGTAAGATAATTTAAGAAAAATCAAAACAAAATAAAAACACTAAAACCTTACTCCTAAAAACTTTTTAGGAGTAAAACAGTGCACATCTGTGCAGAATAATCTGACAACACATGCTATTACAGGAGTTGGAAATATATGAAGTTATACAATCTAATATTAAACTAAACTAGATTTCATAAATATTTTGATATAAAGTCTCAAATAAGAGAGGCAGTACAATTTCCCAATGTACACCTTTTCCTTCTAAAAGTTTAGATTAAAAAAATCCAATTGGCTGCATGACACTAAAAGAAATTAGTTTTCCTGCCTGCTTTTATTCTGTATTTTTTTTTATTATTACATCATTACATTGAGGCATGAAGGCAACTGTAGTGCATGAAAACAAAGAATCAAACACTTAACATCACAACTGGATGAAATGGGGGGTGTCTTGAATCTTTTGCTTTTTTAACATCTACTT